GACACCGGATTCAAATGGACCAAACCTAACCTGTTATGGTTTCAAATTTTGAAACAACCTCATATTTCTTTTCAAGAGGAGGGGGTTTATGAATCAAAACTCGTTCAGTACCAACGGCATGTGATTCCACCATATTGAAATCAACTAGCAGAGCCACTAACAACATCTCGCATTGTGCAAGTCAACCCCTATTTTCACTCCATGTTTATTATAATGTTAAAACATATTCCTACCAACACCCTTGTTACTCTTAGTAGCTAAATTCACATCCTGGGTTTCCTTAGTAATCAAGAAGTAGGAAGACGAAGGAAAGCCACATCCGCGCCCAACTTTAATCCAGGTCAAATTTCATATTTTCATGAGTATATATCCCTGTTTTGTAATTTTCCGACTACAATGGAGTGTGAAATAGTCCACCTAGTAGGAAAAGGCAGTGATGATTGTTGTAATTATTGTAATGCAGGGTGAAATCAACTAGGCCCCGTTTGATACAGCCAAAACAAGCAAAAATATGCACGTTGATAGAAGGAGTTGGGATAAAGCATGTCATTTGTATTTTTATTTAGAGTATTATAAACTTTGATCTATAATAATAAGTTGCACTAAAAGAATAACCACTACGTCTGAAGTTTTAAACTTCATATAAGTGTCAAGAACACATTTATTGAAATGGAGCACATATTTAAACTTAAAATTCAAAATCACCAAAAAAGATAATAAAAACAGTGTCGATGGTGGTTCAAGGAGGAAAGCCAAAATCCCACCAGTCGCTTTGCAAGCGCCATTATAGCGGATTATGGCAGAAATTCCTGCAATTTTTGCGGATATTTACCATTGTGGTACGCTCAAAAACTGCCATGTATATCCGCCATGGCGCCGCCATTGCGGATATTTGATAACAATGATTAGAAGTACCTTTGCTCTGAAAGATTTGATAACAGAAACCAGCAACTTGTCTCCCGCAATTAGTCTAACTTTTTGTGTCAACTCATGTCGCGATATCTTCTTCTCCTGTAAAAGAAAGGAACCCAAAACACAATTCAGCAAAAAGAGAAACTAGTGACTCAGTCTCAAACTCCAGAAGCAAGTGAAAAGCACACTTACTCTATACTCTTTGTGAAACTTGGCAATGAAAACAATATCAGACGGAGGCAACATCTTGGAAAGCACGGAAATTAGGACCGTGAATGGCATCCAAGGCGAAGACGGTCTCATAGAATGCCCCCCAACTCCAACCTTCTCATGTCCTACAAAATCAAACACACAGAGAATCTCAGCAATCATCCCTAATCACAAAATAAATAAATAAAACAATAACAATAAGGACAACAAGCATAAAAAAAACCTCTGTTCGAAGCAAGTTTGAAACTCAAAACATATTCAGGCAACACATGCGTGTTAATTGTGTTACTCCAAACAATGTACTCTTTGGGAGATGAAAAACTATCCACCCCAGAATCATACTCTCCAGAACTCGGACGGCATTGTTCAGAACCCGCTGGCACAACCTCCATCTTTCCGAAAATCACACGACACAGCAACAAGTGCCTCAAACCGTCTTTATCAACAACAGAACTTTTCACACTGTACAAATTTACAATCACAAAAGTCAAAACTACAAACAACACACATAGTATCAAAATATACATCAATTAAAGTGAATAATCAATCATTAGCTACAGTTAATTCAATTAATTAAACTAACTAAACAATAATACAAAATTGGCGCGTACCTTTCAAGAGGTGAATCATTAGGAGAAAAACGCAAACCCTTGCTATGAGCATGACCAAAACCGTGTTGAATAATATCATCAATCTCTTCCTTACTAGAAGCACCATACCAAACATGCTTCACGTTAGCATTTCCGGCGCGCAGTTTCGCCACCGCACGTGCGAAGATCTGAAACGATTGAATTCTAGCTTGTGCCATTATCGTCGAACAAGGATTCCTCTGAATCGACACCACATCGGCTTTCAATCCTTGCGTGCTCAAACCGCAAACGAATCTAGTTCGGATTAGGTTCATATCAGCACCGTCAACCTTCCGGACTTGCCTTTCCGAAACGTGGCCGCCGGAAGCAACACTCTCGCAATCGGAAACCGCCGATTCGTCATCGCCGGCGGAATCATGCGGTGATCTCTCTGGTAAATCTCGAATTGGTCGCTCCATGAATATAATCGAAATTAAAAAGTTAAAAATGGATTATGTTATGTAACCTAAAAATTAAAAAGGATTAATGGAAAGATAATTGATATGAGTTCATTGTTTTTATTTTGTAATTTTGTAATAGTAAAAACTTGGAGAGAAAGAAAAAAACGAACACACACAAGAATTAAAGAATAAGTACAAGAAAGTGTGTGTGAGGAAAAAACAAACTGAAAAAATAGAGGTTGAGAGAAGGTGGCGTTTTGTTTTTAAAGGAAACGGAAACCGCCATGAGGAAAGAAGAAACACGACGACTTTGCGAGAGGCGGTGGAGTAGATGGGTTCGTTTTCGTTATACGGAATTTGAATAAGAGGACCACGTTTTGGTTGTGAAATTACGATTTTGTCCAGTTGTGTTGCTTTGCGTGTGCTTTCTTGGAGACTAAGCAAAAGGTCAAAATTTGCAACTGATTTTTTGTTACTTGTGCAACACTGGTGGTGCTGCCTGCTTTTATTTTGTTTTATTGGTATTTTTAAATGTCGACACGAGCTTTTCTTTATTTAATTAATGGCATGTTGTTTTAGATCAAATTTAAGATCATGTGGAAACTATGTTAACCTTCATTTGAGGGTCATCAAATGTAGACCTCCGAAAATATAGTGTGATACTAGTGTATAGATATAATACTTAATGGACAAGCAAAATTTACTCATGAATGCAAAAAGTATATTTTAGTCAATTATTAGTATATATTTGAGAATATAATTAATTTATAAAAATATATTTTTTGTAAAATAAATTGTTTCTTTGAAAAATAATAATAATTAAGAAAATGTATTTGTCCACAAATGTTTTTTCTTATATATTATCAACAAATTTTAATATATACAAATATAAAAATGAATAGTGTTATTCATAATATATTGTTTGAGTTAATAAATTATACTTTTTATATTCATTAATTATAAATTGGATTGTTGGATTGTGTTTATATCAACAAAAAAAAGTACATCTCCCGTAAAGAAAAAGAAAAAAAAGTACATCTTTGTAATTTAATTCCTTTTATTATCTACTATTCATCTCCTTTTATAACTTCATTTCTCCTTCTTTTTCCTACCGCCACCATTATTACATTGACGTCCATTAGTGCAATGGCCCTTTCATCTGATTGTAATCATCGTAAAGTTATTGCCTTTTAAATGATATCCTTGTAAAGCTATTTTAGCTCGTTGTAAGTCACATTTACAATGATTATTACTTATGGGCGCAAATAAGCCATTTAAATAGTGCAAAATGTGGTGATGGTAAAATAGATTGGAAGTTGAAATAACATGAACGTGTTTTAGAGAGAGACTTCAACTTCTCTCTAAAACTTGTGATGAGGTTTCTGCTCTCATTCATTTTAGGGTTTGTCAGTAGTTCTTACTTCCAGTTTTTATCTTTGGGTTTCCTCTAAAATTCTATGTGGTTTTCTCTTCTTCTCTAGTAGAAGGTTTGTCTGTGCGGGTTCGCTCTTACTGTTTTCAGCTGATATCCATGGATAAATGGAAAAAGATCTCTTTGTCCAAGGAGGAAGAAGAAGCAGTAATGGCAACAGTGGATAAAGTCTATAGGAAAGAAATCTTTCACTGTACATTGGCCGAGAAGTTGTGGATGGACAATAACTTCAACACTCGAGCTTTCACGAGCACAATGATAAGTGTGTGGAAACTTAAGAACCCTGTGGAGACATAAAAGCCGAGTAAGAATTTATTCTTGTTCAGGTTCGCAACTAAGAGAGATCTGGAGAATGTGATTTGAAACGGGCCGTGGAGTTTTGATAGAAATCTATTAGTCCTAGCTAGAATCTCTGGAGAAAAACAACCTTCGGATCTAAACATGCATTATGGCTTTTTCTGTGTAAGGATTTACAAGTTGCCCTTGATGCTTACATCTGAAGTGATGGGTAGGAAGATTGGCGGAATACTTGGAAAGTTCGAGGAAATGGACCAAAAGAAGGTTCATCGCTGTCATACCCCAAATTTGTCTTACCTTTTTAAAAAATCATATGGCTTATGCATCATCATGTACATATTTTTCCATTAGGTCATTTAACACGTCATGCATCATTAATCAATAACTTGACATGGGATCAAGGTCAAAGAATTAGGATTTTGATTTCCTGACTATTTAGAGTATCTTTCTTTCAACATTTCAAGATTGGTTTTCATCAGAAACTTCCTTTAAAATCATGAGCATATGGTTTTTTCCTCAAAAACTCAAAGGTGTTTTCTACAGTCAATTGTTGTTTAAATTTTCAAAACTTACGGTCATAATTTTCATACAAGAATGTATGCAGGGGTTCCCTTTACAAGATAAGGTTATGGACAATTGTTGCGATACATCTCAAAACATCCTCCTATAGAGTCCATTCAACTGAAGGGTTTGCTCGTGTTTAGGTTAAAGATCAAAAGTCAAAAGGAAATGCAAGGTTCAGTCATTTGAAGACACTTAAGCATAGTGATGCATTCAAATTGATGGTATAAATTCTATTTAGAGGTGTAGTATTAAGGAAACTTGAAATGTCATGAATGCAAATCAAAAGAGCTTGAAACTTCAATTTCGAATAACAGGAGGGTCTCATTCTATGAAGTTCAATATCTCAAAGCATTTTTGATTATTTTGGCAAATACTCCCATTGAATTCATATCATAGCCATGGAATTTTAGACAACATAAAATCAGAGGAGCTTAAGGATACAAAGGGCAATTTGAAAGATGAGTCTATATTTAGTGGTTGTCACTTGAACTCAAGAGTTTACAAGGCCATATTTCCATCACAAATTCATATGTCAATGCCATTACATCAAGATACATGGAAATCTACACAAAGTTCAAGTCTCTCGTTACATCAAAAGTCACCATATTCAAAACTATTACCGGTACAACACATCCATACCATTACAAATGTATAGAAAAATTACACAAAAAAAAATCATATTCTAAGCTGCTGCATCTTGCTAAAACTCCATTTCCCATGAACCAAATAAGTATCCATGAGTCTTGTTCTTCATCATGCGTTCCCGGTTCCTTCTTCAAATACTTCACTTACTTTCCTCGAAAAAACATCAAACACCATGAGGCTATTCACAAAAAACAGTCATGCTTCAAGAGACCATTCTGATTCATGATGCGTACAAGAATGAATGAGCAGCCCGTTCAAACTCTATAATCACTATATAAGTTCAAGCACCAGTTCAGAAGAAAAAAACTTGCAGTAAAAGACAATAAGCAGCCTGTGTCATCCGCAAAATAACGGAAAATCTAAGCAAGGCAAGTTAAGAAAGTGCAACAGGAAAAACAAAAGGAAAGATTAACACCACAATTTGAATCAGATCATGGAGGTTAATATCCAAGCTCAATGTCACAAAGCACCCGTTCGTCAATCTGACTTCTAACGAGAGAACTCCCAAATCCTGTCCTGCATACAGAAAAGAATCAGAAAATGCATAAAAAAGAGGAAAACCATGAGATATTAAATCAGAGCAGAAAAGATAATCAGATAAATAAACTTTTGCCAGCTCATAAATCATAGCTCATTACAGATTCAATCTCAGCTCTCTATTTTGTAACAAACTTTCTGATTCAATGGTTTAGATTGGTTTCACAGATAACAAGCTTTCAGGAAGTATATAACAGAACTTACCTTCAGAACACCATTCATTATTCACAAAAATTCTCAACCTTTATCTTCTTCTTCCATCACCCTCAACCTCTCTCAGATTATCTCTTCCACCATTCTAAACTCTCACCATTTCCTAGATTTTCACACGCACCGCTTTCACCTTCATTCTAAAACTTCACGTTCATCCTCATCATCCTCTCTCATCTTCATCATCTTCATCCTCACTCCAAACCTCTCCCTGCATCATTCTCTCTACTCTCTGTATATCACAACACCAACGCATTACTGCTTCATCACTCAGCATCAACATGACACAAAACAACATCAAGACACATAATAACAATAATGCACACAACACAAAGCTTCGAAACCTCACTGGTACTCACTCTCAACAACAAACTCAGACACGCTGAAAAACGGAAAAGAGTGTAAAAGAATCTGAACAGAAGGGAAAGAATTACAAGAAGCAAGGCGGAGAAGAGCTACGAGAATAAGTGAAGAGAAGGAGCAATACCTTATTCGCTGCTGAAGCCAAATTTCGTTCTCAGGTTAAATCTCTGTGTTGCGATCGCGTACTTTCATCATTCGCTTTGATCCCATGATAAATCAATATCGGTTGCATCAAACTTCTCAAATTCATATGAATCCGTAACATAGTAGAGTTTGTGATTTCTGGATCTTCGATCTCGTTAATTGAGGAGGAGTTAACAAAATCTGAGGCTAGATCCATGTTTAGGGATTTAAACTGAAGTGAGATTGTGGTCGAAATCTATGGTCTCGTGTTGATTTGCGGAAGCCGCCACCGCCGGTGCGATTTCTGGTGCGGCGACATTTTTTATAGAAAATGTGAGAAGCTTAAAGTTAGAGGGGAGTTAAATTAGTCAAATGGATCTGAAGAGTCACAATAGCGCTTAAAACGACACAGTTTTACTGCTTTCAGCATTTTCCATTGATTTCATCCTTGATACTAATGTGTTGAATGTTATGTGTGGGATTGGGCCTCAGAATATGATACAACCCATGGAATTTCTATGCCACAGCCCTCTAGGATCCATCACCATCCTTTCTTTTGTTTCACTTTTGTTAACTGATTGTAATTGGGCTCAGATTCGAAGCCCAACACTTTTCAGCAAATTGTACCATTATATTCAGCTTTGAACCCCACTGTCTTGGCATCCTTGTTAATATTTTGTGCTTAATTTTTTTACTTAGTTTTTTATGTAATTTCTACATGATTTTTAGCTTTCATAATGACAAATTGACATGAAAATTGTGAAAAAAAATGTGATGATATTGATCTTGATCCTTGAATTTTTAGTTGGTAATTCTCTTCATAAAAATACTCGTAAACTAGATAAAAAGGGTTTTATGTTTCATCAAATGCTCATGTGATTTATAAGCTTTGTGATGGAATGTTGATGCGACTTTTGCGATGTGGAATTCTTGGAGATTAACTCGTTTGATCACTTGTGCGAAGCAGCTTCTGTAGAGCTTTCTCATCGCTTGCACGACTTTGAAGAGGAAACAAACCTTCTATGTTAGGTACCATTCGAGTTTATCTCTCTTTCATGCATCTGCATCAGAAGTCCGATGATGTAGGCATTGGTTTTATTTATTTTCGATCAATGAGTCACTCAATTAGAATTGAGATCACAACTTCTCTCAAAGTGCATGTTCCCTATATGACTTTATCGCTTTCCTTTATTTTATTGTTGATTAATGAGTCACTCAATTAGAATTGAGATCACGACTTCGCTCTCAGTGCATGTTCCATATAGGTCTTTATCGCTTTCCTTTATTTTATTATCAATCAATGAGTCACTCAATTAGAATTGAGATCACGACTTTGCTCTCAGTGTATGTTCCCTATAAGACTTTATCACTTTCCTTTATTTTATTGTCAATCGATGAGTCACTCAATTAGAATTGAGATCACGACTTCACTCTCAGTGCATGTTCCCTATAGGATAGTTATCCTCACTCTTAGGTCTATCTTTGTACGCTAACAATATGTAGCTTCACCTTTTATTACCCTAACTTTAGGACCACATTGTATGCTAACATTAGGACTCTAGTTCCCCCTATATTTTTTATCTTTTGAATCCATCTCAAAACAAAAACACTTTCTTATTCAAATTCAAAAACACTTAATTGTATTTAAAATACTTTCGAAATAACAAATACTCAACCAATTCAAACCCATTTTTGCCTTCGGGCTTCTCTTTTGAAAACTTTTTCAGGTAAGAACATGTTAATTCCTTTCTACGACAGATGCGTGAGTCTCCAAAGTTCAAGCGGCAGTAGAATGTGAAATTAGCATCGTTCATTAAAAACACAAAACAAACAAAAACTTTAGAGCCAAACTACGGTGCTCTGATTAATTGAAAGGGATTTGTAGACATTAGGTCACGAGGCCTAGGCGAGAAAAACTTTGTAAATATTCATTATTTTCCCCGTGTTTTCTTTCGCATGCATTCTCTTTTAGCATTAAGCTTTAGACATAGATTTTTGCACACCCTTAGATTAGAGCAAACAAAAGTGGATCATGTGGAGTACCACAGACACGTGGGGTGCTAATACCTTCTCCTTGCATAACCGAATTCCATACTCTTTCTCTTGGTCGCAAGACTATTTTATCCATTTCTTTGGGGTTCTCTCGATATCTTCCCTTCCTTTGGGATAAATAGAGTTTGGTGGCAACTCTGTGTTTTTTCGCGATGCGACAATTGACGACTCTGCTGGGGAACTACTCTAGCAAGTTAATCCTAGATTTTGTTTGTTTTCTTGTCTTTATGTGTTTTTGTTTGTTATTGCTTTATTGCTTCTTTATTTACATGCTTTCGTGTATAATTTGCATAGCATTTTTCCGCTTTCCATATACTTTTGTTGTGTTGTGTTGTTTTCTTGTGGGGTAGGTGTTCCATGAGGTAAAAGGCCCATTACCCAGGCCAATGACACATAGGTAAGACAGATACTCATGTTGAATCTTATGTTCTGTTGACACGTGTGAGGAGGCATGAGATACCACACTCAGACGAGGTTTTCTTGATTATGCCTTTTGTCTTGCACCCTTTGTGCATAGACGAGGTGTTCAGAGTGAGAACGCCCAACGCTGATTATCATTTGGGTCCCTATTCTGATTAGAATTTACCTATGTTGGGGTGGGAAATCATTCTTACAGGTACAAATGTTGATCTTTGATACTCGGTTCTTTGGTATTCTGATATGTTCCAGACCTTTGATCTTATGACATTCAGCTTATTCAGAAGATCATACAATATTTATTCAGAAGATTGTATAGTATTTATCCAGATTATTATACAATACTTATTCAGAGGATTGTACAATGGTTATCCAGAACCCATGGAACCTTGATCCTATGTCGTTGCATACCATAACATTGTATCATTATGTATACACATCCTATTTCTAGGTAATTCTAAAGACGAGTCTCTTTCACTGAGCTTTTCAAAAGATGAATGATATTACCAAAAGAATACATATGGATATACAAGTCTTTGGGTTTCCATGGAAATTAAATATGAAACAGGCATTCATAATATCATTCATTTCATTGTTCATATTAGAAGCTTATTGGGGCCTTTCTTTTCATTCAGAGTTTAGAATCAACGACAACGACTTCCCTACATTTGTGCCATACCAGGAGTAATCAAGCGAAGGTTCATGGATCTCTTTGAACATAATCAGAATGCTCTCCGCAAGGACTTGGACATCATGGGTGATAGAATGAATCATCTACTCGAGACTCTCCATGTTGTTATTCATGGACAAGAGTAACTCAGACATAATGTTGCTAAGCTTTATATTGCTACTGCTCCCTCCTCTTCTACTAATGGGGGACATGTGACCATGGATGAACTTTGATGTGAACAAGAATTTTTGAAGGCAGGGTTCAATCAAATGAAGACTCAAATGGGGCTGATTACAGAGGTCCTACAAACACTGTTGAAGAAAGGAGGCAATCCCACACTGACTGTTGTAGTAGAAATGGTCAATCCTTCTTATCTACCGGGTTTAAATTTAGGCCAAGAGCTACCTCATGTATATCCTTTGAAAACTCAGATTCCAAAAACTCCCTGTCTGAATCCATTTCATATGCCTCATCCAGGTAAGAGGAATCAAGTACCAGGACGAAATCACTTCTTGAATCGGCGTCAACAACAGAATTACTCTCAGTAGAAACAGCAAAAGCAAAGGAAGCCAGAAAGAAAGTTGGATGCAACTCTTGTGCCTTACAATCAATTAGTTCCTCTCCTACTTCATTATCAATTGGTTGAGATAAGAGAGTTTGTGCCTCCTCCAACATCACTCCCTTCAGGATACGATGCAAATGCAAGATGCGAGTTCTACTCAGGGGCACCTGGCCACTGAATTGAGAACTGTCGAGCTTTGAAGAACAATGTGCAAGATGTAATTGAATCAAAAGAAATCACATTCATTCCAAGAAGTCTATGCATAAACTGAAGTCCCCTACTCAGACAGGTCCCAAGACTATAAACAACATCCCTCAAATAAGTCAAGCTTGAAGAAGTCTCCTCAACATGGAAATTTCAAATTTTATTTGCATTCTCGTTTGTAATCTTTCTTGTTTTTGTTCAATTACTTTCTCGTATGTCAAACTTGTTCATCTTTTGAATATTAATCATAATGCATCGGATATGCTTGTCTTGAATTAATCTATTCATTATCACTCTTGTTTGTTTTACTATGCTTTTTGATACTCGACTCTTGTTAATAAAGCCACAACTCTGGAGGGAGGATGATGAATAATTTACCTAGAATCTCAAAAGATCCAAGATTACACGATTTGTTCAAAATAAAAAGAATGAAATGAAAAAAGAAAAGAAAAGAGAAATCCCGCTAAGTCGAAACTTGAAAATAAGTCGCTTAGGCAAAAGTTAGGGCATCCCGCTGGGCTTAAAAAATCAAAATTAAAAAGAATTTGTCCAGGAAAATGTTAGGGAAAACAAAAAGAAAACAAAAAATTCTAAAGGGAATAAGAAGGATTTCCAAAGAAAAATCATCTTCAAAAGAACAAAGTCGTGTGATCAGATACCAAAAACAAAAAGGTGAGTGACTGTCATGTCCAAGAAACGTCAGTAGTTCCTCAACCATCATGAACTCCTCTTGAGAGACAGGTGCTCGTTTCGAGTTATCTGAATTTAGGACTGGAGAACATCATAGATAATGGGTGGGCGCCAAATAACTTTAAGCCTTAAGTCCTTTTTTCTAAAACCGTGAACCAGACCACGTTACAACCCTGAAAAGTCCTAACTGAAGCATGGGTTAATTCGAAAGCAAAACTATAACGAGAGCACCGTAACCTGTCTCCTAGGAGGCTTGCTAAAACTTTTGAGTTGGTATCACTCCATCTTTTACTATATTTTGTACACAAAAATTCGATGTTTCAACGTATTTTCAATAAAAGTTTTCTAACTTCAAGACAAGCATATGATTTGCATTAGAATTATCATTCTTAGAAAAAAATTATTTGCATATGAAAAAGTGTTTAAACATCAAGTGAGCTTGCTAATGAGCATCATATAAAGAGTTTGATTATCCCGAGGGACGAAATTGCTTCAAAAATCTGTCGAAAAGTGAATCATATTAAAGAATGATCTTAATCTGGGGCAGACTTTCTAGTGACTCTGTTGAGTAAAAGAAGACCAATTTGAGAAATAATCAGAAGAAGATCACTTGAGATCTTGATGTTTGTGTGGAAGCTTTGGTTGCCCGAAAGTCTCCGTAGAGTAGTGGTGCATCACTTTCAGTTGGTCCTAAGGGACAGATTGTTTCAAGTTTCTGCTTGAGCACGAAGCAGCTCAAGTTGAGAAGTACGGTTGGGTATTAGCCTACTTTCAGGACATAAGTCAACCACCCTAAGGGTATATTGTCATCCAAGACTCTGTTGAACAAGGGGAG